GGACCCGGCGTCGGCGTTGTTCAGCGGACTAGTCATGCTGCGCTGGAGCGAATCGCTTTACGTGATGGACATCAACCTGTGGCGACTGTTGACGTTCGAACGTGGATGCAGAAGACACGCTACCTCGACATATTTGCAGCTGGCGATTCCGCACGTTGAATAAAAACGTTGTGATTAATCGGACTAACAGTTAAGGCATAAAGACAGGAGCCATGATACGAGTATGGAAAGTGATCATGACACTAGCAAAGACCAACAGGATGGATTATACAGGTAATATACGAGCATTGCGCTGTGGTGACCTTAGCCCTTGGGCACGCACTGACTATACGATGGATTTCGGACAATGCACTCATCCGAAGACGTCCTGGGGTCGGTCGCCGCATTATTCACCTATCTTCCGTCTCCGCAGCCTCATCGGCAGCGGGGGTGCACTGGCTGTACCAGTCGTCCATCCAAACGCAGGCGTATTGTGCGACGCATCGAGTGGGGCCATTGAAAGTCTTCCCTCCGCACTGCTGCCATGGCTGGGCTTCTTCCTCCGACGACGGCGACGTGGACTTGGGGGCATGCGACGTTGGAGTTGACGAGGATGGGGGACGAGGGTTCATGGTTGGGGTTCCACTTGACGAGGACGGGGGAGGGTGGGGGGAGGATCCGTCGCCAGAAGTCAACCGTACGCAGTTCTTGTACACTTGCCACTGCGACGTGTGGAGCGCGAGCCACAGCATGATCAGTTTTTCACTCCCTTGGCATTGGCTGGAATTGATAGGCATGACCCCGTCGGGAATGTTTCGGGCGCAGTTGTCGTTTTCATACACTCGCGTGGCGTCGCACCAGAGTTCACAAGGGCCTTCGTGCGACAACACAAACCCTTCCGAGCCATGGGCCCACTTGACCTTGCTGTCCGATGGCAACGAACGAGGGGTTCCGTCGGCTCGAGTCAGCCCACATTCGCCCCCCGTGTTGCCCTGGGCGTCGATGAAAGCCCGAAGTGAGGCAAAGGACGATTTCTTCAACTGACGGGTGAACTCAATCGTGTTGTCTTGGGGGCTTAGATTGTAGTTCTCACCAGGCAATGCGACATTGCCGTCGATCGTGCCGCTATAACCAGTTGGGTCCCCGCCGGGGTTTACAAAGGTTGGCTGGGGGTCGACAAGGTAGCCATGAGCCAAAGTAGCAGTGGGCATGAGGGCTGCCAACAGGGTCACCGAGAGGTAGGTAGTAGTGGAATGCATGGTCGAGTGAATATTGAATTGTGAGCGCTTGGCATTTCAAAGATGCAATGCCGAATCCAAGTAGAATGCAGGCTAGAATATACGATGAACTTGGAAGTGAAATGCTACCTCATGTAGAGCCGTGAGACTGGACTTTATTTTGGATGGACGAGCGATATAACGAAACAAAGCTGGCTATGATTGGCCAGCACGTTCCTTTGCGACGGCGAAAAGGTTGTACGTGCCCAGTGCTATGTCAGCACTGCCGAGTCTGAGACATGGTGTCTCTAGCGTCAGGGATTGCCGCCAACCCAATCAGTAGGAAAACCAACTCGCCGCCAAGTCGAAGAAGATACTTCAAGGTCAGTGTGTCCAGAAAGAAATTATAGATACTCCACGGACAGTACGTCCAGAAAGGAACTGCTACATTGGGCAAGTCGCCCAGAATATTCTGCCGTTGTAAAGTGCATTCTGGTCAAGTACCGTTAGTTTCACGTCGTCGTTTACTATTCAAAGATGATGCATGGTACATCCTGGGGCACGCTACACAGTGGGCCAATCAATACTACTACAACTCAGTTGGTTTTTGATTTGTTATTGAAATCGAATTTCGAAATATATACGCCAATCAGAGTGGAAAATTTAGAATTTACTTGGATGGCTTAAAAAATACTGCTTCGTTGTTTAATACTGTAGGAGTACGAAAAAGTGCATCGGGATTATAACCAAGCAGCCGCCGCACACATGTACTAGTACATACTACTACTAGTATGTACTAGCTGTGAAACGAATACTGTATGTATGTTCTAGTACTCATCGTCGTATAATAGTTGTCGTACGTTCTACTATTAATTCTACACATGGCAGCACATTCACGATGATTCAACTGGATCATGTTGGTCTACAGTGCTTCGACAATGTTCATGAGATCGCCGCCGTCGCCATCTTCACCAGACGACCCGCCGCCGCCGCCGCCGCCTTGAGCGTCGCCCATCCCAAACGAAGTGCCGTCCATGTCGAGGAAGTTCATGTCCGTGGATCCGCCTTGCAGCCCCGCCATCATGTCATCGTTTGACGACGACGTGCCGCCGCCGCCGTACCCGTACCCCATGTTGGCTTGGGGGTAATATTGACTCATGTTTGACGGTGGCGCCGCCGCCGCCAACGACCCCCCCCCGCCGCCACTACCGCCCATGTTGTACTCGTCCAGTAACAGGTTCCCTTGGGACGAAGATGCAAGGGTGGGGGGGGGATGCTGCTGCTGCTGCTGCTTGGGTACCGACGCTTGCATCATACTTTGGAAATGGTTTTGCTGCTGGTGATGCTGCTGCTGTTGGTGATGCTGCTGGTGCTGCTGGTGATGCTGCTGCTGCTGTTGCTGATGGGGGTGGCTTCCATTTGACCGCATCCCCATCATCGCTTCAAATGCCCCCATATTGCTCGTATTGTTGCCAGGATTCGATGGATTGTGCAGGGATAACCCCCCCCCACTTTGGGGGGTATTGCTCCCCCCCGACGTTCGCCGATCTTTTTCCGTCTTGAGCTTCTTCAAGTACGGCAACACGATGCGCACGACGTACTTGTTGACTTTTTCAAGCTCGTCCAGCGTCCGTGCTGGGTGGGTCGATGCATCTTCGTCCAGTACGTTCGCGCATAGCTGGACATACGCCAACAAGTACGACAGCTTTTGCTTCTGATCGCTTTCGTGGTCTTGCTTCATATGGTCCACATACTTTTTAAACGCGCTGTGCACGGTACTCACATCGGTTAAATATTTGGCCTTGAGCATCGCGTGCTACAACCCCACAGATATATATATATCACGACCTTGTCAATATATATATATTGGCCATTCGAGTTTGCTCGATTGAATTTCCAATCCATCCACACCAATCAAAACAAGAATCAAGCCATTGGCCAATCACATTCACCCGTCAACAACCATATACGTATATATATATATATATATAGATCGATTAACATCATTGCTATTGGAATAAATCGACATCGTTCCATTGCGATCAATACATACACATATCCCTATTCGTGAAAAGCATGCATGACTGCATATATATAGTCAAATCGATTCGAAACTGGAGCCCTCAAGAATATCTTCCAAGAGAATGGATAAAGGAACTGCTAAAGCCAATCAAATGTCACGTTCTGTTGAATTTCTGCCAATCGAAACGTTTGTCCCGTCCGCATTGGGCAAAACCACATATCTACTAATAAATGTATATCGTTTGTACAAACGTCAATGACAGATCAAAAATATGGATTCGAATCCTATTTTTGGCGACATGACTCTAAAAGTCGCACATTCCGGTGAAATTGCACTATATATATATATATATATATATACAAACACACACTTTATATCTCCTCATATACAACAGGTATCACAACGTACTTGACGCCAGTACTCTGCAGGGTTATTGCCGGCAAGTGTATTGACCATGGTTTCAGGTGAATGCTGCTGCTGATGCTGCTGCTGTTGGTGGAGGTGGAGGTGGTTATTGGTGGTAGGGGGGGACGGCTGGGCGGCGGATGGGGGGGGCGGCGGGAGGGTCATGGCGGTGGCCGACTGCGTCCGGCTCAGGTTCTTGGGCGGCGGGCCGTTCGAAGGCGGCGGTTTGTTGCCTTTGGCCTGCTTGGGCGTGACATTCGACGAGGATGATTGGGGGGGAAACCCGCCGCCGCCGCCGCCATTCAGATGCCCCGACGACGGAGCCAACATGCCCGTGTTGATGGCCAGCGAGTTGTTTGGATTGTAATTCATGCTGTACGGCGCCGCGGCGGACGGGTTGTGCGGCGGCTGCTGGGGATGCGATGGCATGCCGCTGCCGGGATGGCGGCCTCCTGGTCCGGGGGGTATATCCCCGCCTTGGGTTTTCAAATGCTGGAGTCGCTTGATGATCTGGTTGATGTAGTCCTCCTACAATTAAACATGATGATGTGATTATATATATATATATATCGATGTCCAATAAAGAGGACATTTGAAGGCGGTGGTATGATGACGTACCCGAGTCTGACATTCTTTGAACAACGTCAACTCGAACCATGCAACGTTGATCCAGAGCGCGATGCCGGGCGGCTCGGTGGACACACGGACCATTTCGTGGTAGACTTTGGCAATGAGACTGGCGCGCTGGTCGCGGTTGAACTGGGCGCGCCATTCGATGTGCGCGACACTTTGGCCGGGAAGAGTCGACGTTATGGGTTGGTTGTTCCCGTACGAGAGGTTCGTGTTCGTGTAGCCCATCGTGGCGGCGTTGGACGACGACGGATGCATGTTGCCAAGCATGCCGCCATTGTTCATGTTGCCCATCGAGTTCATGGGATGGTTCATGGAACCGCCGTGCTGCATCGAGTTCATCGAGTTCATCATGTGGTGTTGGCCGCCGCCGCCACTGTGGTGCTGCTGCTGGTGGGACATGTGTTGCATGGGGTTGTGTCCACCCATGCCGCCGCCGCCGCCGCCCATGTTGCCGCCAGGTTGGTTGTTTCCCTGGGGCATTCCCATGCCCATACCCATCATTGCGTTCGGATTCATGCCAGACATGCCATGTTGCTGGTGTTGCGGCATCCCCGGCTGGTTTGACATCATCCCAGACATGCCTGGATGATGGGACATCCCTGGGTTCATTCCTCCCATGTTCATACCGTTCATGTTGATGCCCATCCCTCCCATCTGATTGAGGTTCATCCCTGGGTTCATGCTTGGTGCGTGGACGATGCGCCGCCGATGGAGGGTGAAGAATACAAGAATGAAGAACTACTCCTGCACCTCCTCGCCACATTCCACCAATCATAGGCCTGCAAATTGACCCTCTGTGCCTTTTATCCGGAATACACATACAAAACCTAGGTACACGCGGGCTACGTATCCGGATTACCGACCCAAAATAACTACATTCACCGTTCAAAAATTCTGTCGATTTAAATCGACCTCTTTCAATTGATCACGACATGGAATTATTAGATATTAGAGGGTTTCCTCAAAGGCCATGGAAACCACTTTAGTTACAGTTAATAGGGGCTGCATGAACCCAAGACCCGATGATGAACAAAGTCATACCGGTAGAATACACTGTCATAACATTCAATGGCATTCTGTGTGTCATTGGATAACATGGCGCTGTGCGCGCTTGACTTAATATTTCTTGATTCTTAGTTTAGTTACGTCTCCAGCAGCATATATTAAAAATATTCATGCCTGTTTCAGCTGATTCCAACGAAGCGCAAAAGTAAAGTGTAGTGTATCGTAAGTAGTAGTACAGTAGTAGTAGTATATGGACAATCTCTTTATGATCATACTGTACACAAGGCGTTGATTTGTCGACTTGTAGGAGCAAAACTAGATGAACATAATAATAAGTATACCAGTTCGAAAATCAACTTCATTTCCACCAATCAAAACGCCCAATATGACATGTACGACCTACATTCCTCCGAAATGTCCAGAATCGAGGAATCTGATACGACTTGATGCACGCACATCTGGTTCGCCATGGTTGCAAGTCGGGTACATGCTGTAGTCGGGTACATGCTGTAGCTAGGGCTGGCTTTGTGAACGGCAGTCTGTACGAGAAAGCACGACCCGACTTCCCTCGTGAAGCGCTCGTCCATTTGATTCCTCCGTCGCTGTCGAGGTCGAGCCGCGTCCTCGATGTTGGGAGCGGCACGGGCAAGTTCACTTCGCTTTTGGCGTCGCACTTCGACTCGCTGGTGGCGGTCGAGCCGTCTGAGAGCATGCGCACCGAGTTCAAAGCGCGTCATCCGTCCATTACATGCGTGGATGGGACTGCGGAACACCTTCCGTTCCCCGACGCTTCGCAAGACGCGATCTACCTCGCCCAGACCTTCCATTGGTGTGCGAACGCCGCCGCTCTCCACGACATGTCTCGCGTCCTGACTTCGAACGGGTTTCTTGGGCTCATCTGGAACCTCGAGGACGATCGGACTTCGTGGGTACGCGACCTTCGCGCCATCTATGAACAGTTTGATGTCGTGGCGCCACAGTACCGCACAGGCCAATGGGAACTCGCGTTTCGCAGCAACGAGCATGCATTTGAGTATCCGTTGCAGCATATTCGCCTCGAACACTTAGTTCCCGGGGACACGACCGAGCACGTTTGGCTGCGCGTGCTGTCCAAGTCGTACATCCACTCGCAACCGCAGGACGTCATCGACAGCGTCAAGGCGGAAGTGGACGCCATTTTGGACACGGCCACCTTCGAGCGGGATGGCAGCGGTCGCATCTTGTACCCGTATGTGACGGATATGTATTGGACCCATAAGAAGTAGGGGTGCAAAGAACCCTTTGGTTGGCAATTCATACTTAGGGCTAAATCCTTTGGTGTTCCAAGTAGTTTTCAGAAAGAGCATGAACAGCCAATCAAAATCGATTTACCTCTTTCTTTTTCACGATTTACTGTTAGAAAAAGAAGTCAAAAACGAGGTAAAAAAGTAGGAAACTAGCACTTGGAACCACATTTTCATTTGCTAAAAATATCTACTTGGAACAGGCCCTAATTAATACTAAACGATCGTGGTCAAGTACTGAGGGTGATTACTCAGGAAGGTGTTACTTGAGGTGTTAGTGATAAGAGGGAACTCATGCATACAACCTGATTGCTTTACGAGTCATGGCGTACACTCTTTGCTATCTTTACAATGACCTCCAGAGCATGGCACTGCGTCATGTTATCCAGCCAGTGCTCTTTCGTACTAGTAATGATATCAGTTCGCTTGTAAAAATACAGGTCGCATTTGTAAATTATTGTACTATTAATAGTACAATTTTTCATATAAAATGTAGAATTATATACTATTAAAATTATGTAATATTATAATAGTATATACTATTAAAATTATGTAGACATACATGGCCCCGAGAGCGGTGCCGTAGGACGACTTGCCATAGTAGTTGACCACAGATTCGTTTATGTAGGGCGGCGCGGATCAGAGTCCATGTCCCGCGTCGCGAACGACGTCGACAGGTACTTGACATAGTCGCCATCGTACATTTCGCAGCGGCGGACCATGGCCTTCAGGGACACCCCGAACCGCCCCAATGATGTCTCGGCGGTCGGCGAGTCGAACGGTAGGTGGCTCTGATTGGGCCACTCGGTGGTGGCGGTGTAATTGTTCTTGGTGCAGCGCGCGGGACGAGACATCCCCACTCCACGAGGGTCGAACCCCAACACGTCGTGCTGGCCTCCGAGGTACCACACGACGCTGCCTGTAGCCAAAGGCATACATAATAGTATATATTAATTTTATACACTATTAAAATGATATACTATTATAATAGTATATAATAGTATATACTATTAAAATTATATACTATATTAAAATAGTACTGGAATATTCTATTAAAATAGTATATAATTCTACATTTTATATGAAAAATTGTACAGTACTATTAAAATAGTAATCATATACTAGTACTTCATTCCAGAAAAGTGGAAGTACAGTACTTCACAAAGTATTAATAATAGTTCTCGCTCCATTTTTCTGTTCATTCTGTTAATACAACATTCAACTGGACATTTCCGTAGGTTTTTCAAACTGGTTCAAGAACACACGCCACATACAACTTCCATTGGCACAAAGATACTATTCGATCGCATAAGACTTTGGAGGACCTGTTGCGCTTCATAGTTGCTGCCTGACCTGCGCGCTACTACAGTATTTCGGGAATGGAAAGTGCGCCAGATATTCTAAACCTTTCAGATAGTTGGCCTTTTGTTTATCCCTACTTGCGGCACTCTTGTCAGCGTCCATAGACATCATCGAGATGTACTGCAGTAGCATGCAAATTTAATGGCTGTTTCGCCTAACCATACGTAAGTTGACAGTCGTGTACTACTGTAGTACTTCTCCGATTGATAACAATGTTTGACATAAATTATAATAAACTTCATGGTAACAAACGTTAACTTTGAAATGTTGTGCGAGTATTACGTAGAATTATTTCGACCGAACAACCTGTTCTCGTTGTAGTACTCTCGCCAACGCTTTTGTGCACTAAAATGCCAAATGTTTGAAGCACTCCACCTCAAAAAGTCCGTCGAATAAAAAAAACTAAGGATAACTACTTAGTTCGAAAATATAAATCCAGCTGCATGTTTTAGTGCAAAGGAGTGCCTGAAATATCCTAATAATCGATTTGTATTTTGAAATTATAACGTACTCCAACGTTAAAGAATTGATGAAACTTTTTTGTCGTAATATCTTACTCGGAGTAGTTTTGTATGTAACGTTATGGAATACTGTATTAGTTTACAAAAATAATACCTGGGTGTCATGACGTATTTTAATTTAAGCTGAACTCAATTCTACATTAAATTTCAACATAATACAATATGAAATTCGTATTGGACAACATAAAAATGAACATAGTTTTGAACTTCAAGGTGGTATCCTGATCCTTTGGCTGAATACAATCATATCCAATGAAAAGTCCTCATTACAGAATGAAGCCATCCTCATTACAGAATGAAGCAATTGGATTGGATATACTAGGCCTCTGGACCAATTACACAGTTTTTGCTCAAATAGTGCAATATTTTGGAATCATATCGAGATATTTCGCATTTTGTGCCTCAACTGACGATATATATACGATAAAATTATCTACTGACTCTTTGGCTGAAAGATTGACAACTACACCAGTGATCAAGAAACCTCGAAATTTACTCATCTACTTCTCAAATATGAAGTTACTGATCAAATATGTAAATATAGAGGTATATTTCCATCTCTCTTGGACTCAAATTCTCGTTGGCTGTTAATTGTTCGCGTCAATCACAACGACAGCTCACATCCTCAAGAGTGCGTTCTAACCATTCCTTTAATCGTAACTCATAATACATCGCTTTCATCTCCTGTGTACCATGCGTCTCAATGTGTCGTCTATAATGGAGCGCCTCCAGGACCAGACTGCCTCGGATATCCTCGACCTCCAGCAAAGTCTGAATACGGCGAAGCCGTCATGGAAGTATGATGCCGTTGCGCCTCGAGGACAATGACTACTATCGTGCCGTCATGGCTCGCACAAGTGTGTGGTAGCTGCGAACACCTCAAAGAGAGCCGCGAACTAACGCAGATACCTACAGCGCCGTGCAGAGCGGTTTGCGACGGAAGCTGCCCGCGCCAACCGTACTTCACGTGGCCTTGCCTCTCATTGCGAGTAGCTGATAAATACATGTGGTTTTTAATCAATTATTTGAAATTTGTATGCAATAGAGTAGTAATAATAAAATGCTTACAAACAACAAGTATAAATATATCTGAATTAATTTATTATGGAAATTTTGTCCTTGATTCCGATCTACTCAGTTATCGCTTACTATCGAGTCATTTTGGAAATGACTGGGATATTGCTGAATTGCAGACTCATGAGGAAAACACTCTACTACCTCCAGACGGAAATAAACCCGCCACACGAGATCCCCCACAAATATAATAAATATGAAGACAAAAACATACAAATAGCTCGCTATTTTAAATATTAATACTGCAGTTCAATACTCAAAGCTATATAAAAATGAATTTAGACGCAGAACCAACACTCCTACTCGTCAGCGTCATCCACATCGATCCCGACTTTTTCGAGCGCTGTCAATATGTCGCTCATTTCCAAGTCCGTGGCAGTTTGGAGGGACAGCTCACGCATCACCAACGCCATGTCTTGGTCAGCAAGCAAGCCGTGGCCAGTTTCGAAGATGTCTTCACTGCACATCACCGACTCGGGTAGCTTCCCACTCTTCTTCAGGGCTTCTTTCTTCATGTGCGGGACCTTGTAGGAGTTGTCGCCGGCAGCCATGATGACCTCGCGGAGACAGCACTGCAAGGTAAGGAAGTTGCGTTCCAACGACCATGGGTCGACATCGTCCCAGGCCTTGTTCGTTGCGTCCACGATCTCTTGATAGGTGTTTGAATGGTGAGTCTGCTGCAGCGACTAGATGGCTCGAAAGAACCCGAGATCCAACATGTTGAGGTTAGGTGAGCTTGGAGGTTGACACTTGAGACTCATTGACCAACCGTCGGACGTGCAGGCACTGACAACGGCGGCATCCCAAGGCGCCACATGTGGTCGGGCGTTGTTCTGCTGGATGAGGACGGAGCGGCTACTTTTGGGGGGCCACTTCGCCTTAATTGCTGGAATAACGTTGTCGAACAACATCTTCTTGTATATCGGTCGTGTGACGTTGATGGGTCGCAGTTCCAAGGTGCTTGTTGGGCGATTGCGCGACGACCGTGCAGCTCGGACGGTCTCGGTAAAGTGCCACGTCCCGATTTTGCCGTCCCACCACTCTGACTTCGCGTCATTCTATCTAGAACGCGGCACTGCGGTCAAGAACATCACCTTTGTGATGAAACGTTTGCTTTGGGTCGTGCGATGGGGAGGGGTCTCGCTGGGGAGGAGGTAGAAGCAAGACTTGACTCGAGTTGCATTGAACCACTTCTCATCAACGTGTACGTAGTCGTACATGTCGTGGAATCATAGCTCAGTCGGGTGGACGAAGTCAATGGCCCACTTCACGCGGGCAGTTTTGTTCACATCTGTTAGCTTAGGCTTAACGTGTGAGTTGTACATTACCAATGTTCCGCGTTTGTAGTAGTCCTTAAGGGTACTGACAGGTATGCCAATAGCGTGAGCAACGTAGCTCAAAGTCGTGCGCTGCGCAGCTGGTACGGCTCTGATACGTTCGGGCAGGTCATTGTATTTAAGCTTACGCCCAACTCGACCTTTTTGTTTGGCTCGAAACGTCCTCGCAGACCAACTCACGTGCTGGAAGGTCGCCGTTGCCCAGTGACACGTTGGCTCGCTTCCAGATGTCAGCAATCGTATGGCGATTGCGGCCAAACATGCGAGCGACGTCTTGTATCGCACCACGTTGCAGCTTAAAGGGACCCTTTACAATGCGCAAGAGAAGATGGTCAACCATAGCCCGGCGCTGGTCGGATGTCAGGTCTTTCATGGAAATCGCGCCATGAATATTTTGCCGCTCAAAAATGATCAACATTCACAAATTTCGGATAAATTTAAGTGTATCCGTATGAATTTATCTTGAATTGAGTAAGTAGTCTTGAAAGTTGCCTGCATTGGTTAAATTGGCGTTTATTTTTCATTCGTTGCGCCAATCGGATTCGCAGGCTTGAGTACTTTCGGGAGGTGTTTTCGGATTTTTCAACTTCGAAAAATTGTTAGGCTTGAGTACTTTCGGGAGGTGTTTTCGGATTTTTCAACTTCGAAAAATTGTTGAAAATATTCAAATTTTCCTCTTGTGGCTGGTTTATTTCCGTCTGGAGGTAGTGTTTCTTCAGAAATACCAGAGCAAGTCATCAGTAGCTAAAACATATTGGATATAAACCAGGCTTTCACTGAAACATTCATGCTCTTCCGAAATATGTGACGAACTGGTTTGGTGACCTACTGACATGACAACCTTTCGAGATACTGTATAGCCGATTGTCATTTGATGTGGTGACTTATTCATCCAATCAAACCCTAAATCGATTTTCATTAGACAAAATGCAACCTCTAGACAAATGATTCCTGTATATATATATATATTCATGCTACGAACCCTACATTTGTGTTTAAAAGTACTTCTATACAAGATACCTGTTTGAATTGTATAAACCTTTATAAAATGGTAATCGTTTTCAATACATAACTCAAGTATAAAAATCGGCACATCAATGGTCGCCCTATGTAAAGTACTCAACTTGAAAACTTTATTGTGCAATCGTAAACTGTTTAACAGTAAATTGATATACTTTGGGCTCATCCGAAAGAACTCAACGTTATCCATCCAAAAATGTATGTATCAAGGGAGGATTCGAAAAAACAACTGAAATATTCGAAAATGAAAATGAAGAAAATCAATGGTCGACCAGGTTATGATGGTTTGTTTACCTTACTTTCGAATTTCTCGCCACTTTATTTCACGAAAATGCCGAATGAAACGAATTATTTAGCGAAAAAAGTTCGTTATAGTTGTGAGCGTTTTCAGTTCGAAGTACAAAACTGCAAATGGACGCAGACCTTGTCGGGGCGTGGGTAAGCACAGAAGCGTTCGGCAACACCTCGCTCGATTGGAGCGAGGATGTCAAGGCAGGAAAGGCTGTGCTGTATCTGACGTTCACAGAGGAAGGCAGCGTGCAGTTTGACGTCCAAGGGCCGAGGACGTATGCGCATGTGCTGCCGGCCGAGACGTTGCACTGCACTGCGAAGGACGGACTGATCTCCATACCTGGCGATGCCTCGGGGCTAGCGTGGAACTATCGAATTGAAGACACCGATGCTCTTCAATTGCGACTGGTTGGGGCGAAGCGGTTTGCACGGTGTAAAGGTGTCGATACCATCTACTTAACACGACGACAACACAGCTACGACTAACGTTAGTATTTTTGCAATGTACAACCATACACATGGACGAAATGCTTTCACAGAAGTCGTCGATATGGACAGTAAGTACACTCTACAAGCCTCTGGCCTAGTCTTCCCTCGGCAATTCCACTATGGTCGTTTAAGACCTATGGCATCACCAACCCCAGCGGCACCCCCCCGCCAAAGCAACACCGACGGCGCCAAAAGCAGGCACATGGCTCGGAAGGATTCGTCTATTCGTCCTACGAAGGCCCGTGCGAAGTACAGATTGATGCGATACAGATCTGCTGTGAGTTTCAAAACGACAATTCTCACCATGTCGCGAATGGAATGTGGCCAACGTGGCCAAATGCAAAGGAGCGGGCCAGTTGATTGTCGTATACATATTGGCTAGCCCTTCGTGTTTCTACGTGGCAGTTTTACTTGAATTCCGATGGAGGAGCAGCAGCAGCACCAACCCCCCCCCCTTTGCACCACCTACTAGCTACTGTACCCGTCGGCAACACCGAGTTACCCTTCTGCACCTCCTAGTTAAGGACAGGTTCAAAAGACACCTAATCCACAGATCAGGTGTACACTCGATATTCAAAAGTGTGGATTTTGTAATATCGTTAATTAGACTAACTGCAAGTATTATCATATTCAAAAGTGTGGATTTTGTAATATCGTTAATTAGACTAACTGCAAGTATTAACATATTCAAAAGTGTGGATTTTGTAATATCGTTAATTAGACTAACTGCAAGTATTAACAAATTGTATGAATAAAGTAACTACTATTAATAGTACTACGTACTGTAGTATTCGGAGTATTAATCCTAGTACACACGGTTGGCTGGATTCTGTTGGCTAGTAGCTCACTGTACCTTACCAGTGCTAGTACAGTATGTATCTTGCGCGTACTTGCTAATTTATATATATATATATATATATATATATTTCAGACTTCGTAGATCGACTATAATAGTATTGGTTACGGGTTTTTATGGGGCATGCACTGACTGAACCACTGGTCCAGCTTTGTGCACTCGTCGCCTTGTTTGCATTGTCCTTTGCCTGTCCAGCTGCTGCCCCCGCACTGCTCGTACGTTTTGAGCTCACCTTCCCCGGTTACGTTGGGGATGCACTGATGGTACCACTCGATCACAACTTGGCAGTGGTAGCCTCGTACGCACTCGGTGGCGCCGGTGTAGCCCTTGCCGCCACACCGCTGCCATCCGCCTGCGATTTTGCTGGGGCTCGTGGCAGGGGCTGAAGTGGGTTTGGCTGTGGGGGTCGCGGTAGTAGTAGTACTAGAAGGAGGCGTGGTCGCCGGCACGGACGTCGTGGTCGAGATCGCCGGTTTCCTTGTGGGAAACGGAAGGGGGCTCGGCGTCGTGGAGGATGCATTCGAGGTCGTGGGCGTAGGGTACTCTGTCGCAGACGGAGATGGCGTGGGGGTGATGACGGGGTACTCTGTCACAGACGGCGTCGGCGGCCGGGTCGACGTCAGCGGGGGCGCGCTGGTGGAAGGAGCGACACCGTCTTGCAGCGCGACGCAGTTCTTATACACTTGCCAGTCAACGGCATGCAATGCAATCCACAAGACGACCATCTTCTTGGCGCCACTACATTTGGCCACGTCGATCTGCATGTTTCCAGACGGCACGTTCCGCGCGCAGTTGTCGTTCTGAAACACGACCGTGTTGTCGCACCAGACTTCACACGGCCCTTCGTGCGACGACACAAAGCCTTCGCCGCCGTTTCGCCACTTCACGACGCCATCCGCCGGCAGCTTTTGCGCGGTGCCAAACTTTGTGATACCGCACTCGCCGCAGTCGTCGTTCTTGTCAAAGAACTGCTTCAAACTGGTATAGTCGACCTTGAACCGGGCGAGAAATGCCTTGGTGTTGTCTTCGGGGCTCCGGTTGAACACGTCGGCCGGGTACAGTTTGTTGCCGTTGATCACGCCGCAAAACTTGGACGGGTCACCGTACGGATCGAGGAATGTCGGCGCGGGGGATAAGATCCATCCGTGGGCGTCGACGGACGGGAACACGGCGGCGCCAGACAGCGCCATGGCCATCGCAATCGAACGAGGAGAGACCATGATATGCCAACGAGGATCAATGTTGAAAAGTGAGGCAATATCAAACGGCACTACATGGTAGTAGTACTACATACAGTACATACAGTACCTCTGCCACTGGTGAAAGTTCATGGAAACCACCTGGGGTGGTTATGTCCGCCGTTCAAATCCAGTGGAATTTGGTTAAACGCACACTACTCTCCCTTCAAATCGATAAAGTCGGCATGATACGCCATGTTCATTGGCTAAAATTGTGTTTGCACATACGTTTTATTGGTTTAACCGTTCGGCACAGTACTGTTGCTGAATCCTTGTGAAACGGTCATAAATATTGACAAGCATGTCATCAAGCTGTACTTAGGAGCCAACTAGTAGTAGGTTGTGGCCCGTTGTGTCTTTTGGCTGCATGGCGGGCGTGAGCTCCAATGTAAGCGTCGAGATGATGCGGCTGTAGCCGGGATTGCGTGCATGTTACGTGTCAATGACTTTTCAGATCGTTGTCTTGATATTTGTATACTGATCGAGCCAGCTGCTTGGTGGGTAGGGTGATGGCTCGCCTTTTCTAGTGTCTGGCGCCAACAGTCCCTCCTTTTCCCACATTGCACTGTCGCGAGGAAAGTTGATATTACATCGATGCCGTTGGTGTGTGTCGAAGGATCTAGGAACGGTCGAGGCTACTTTTCTACTGCTACTAGTGGTACTAGTATAGTCGTCGTCGAACAAAGTCGTAATGGCAGTGCCAAGTGAAAATAAGCGTTTCGGGGGAAGTGGACTTGGAGGAGAGACACGCCATGGATTCACGAGCTACACATCGTTACGGGTGTAACATTGTGAGGACGACAAGTTTCAGATTTTTCAAAATAACATTGTGAGGACGACAAGTTTCAGATTTTTCAAAACGTAGAGGGTATGACCACCGGAAGGCTGTACTAGTATGTCACTACTTTAGGTTTCATCCAACCAACTTACAGTTAATGTCATCAAAAGTCATAATTCAACACTAATATTATACGAAGTACTATTAATCATAGTAACGTTATCCAAGGTTGGTATTAATATTAACTGTAACTGCTGATCCGTCAGGTTAACTGTTAACGCTAGGTGTCCAAATGAGATACTCTCATTTGCAGTAGAGCCAATCATACTGGAGTAAATTCATTGGCGTAAGCCAATCACATTGTACAATTACAAATATTTCGTTTTACTGGATTTCTATTGGCCCCTGCGAAATAGTTGGGGAATAAAAACAGTGATTCTGAGTACCTTTATTAGGCCTAACTTGAAGCTAGGAAAATCCCTCCTTTGCAGAATTATATAATTTAAGCAAGATCATTCTTAAGTATACTTGACCTAAGCTTTTGCTCCCGTCTTAGCCGGTTAACAGTCCCATGGATAACGATTTGGGGTTTCATCCAATTTCGATTAGCGTTATGTACATAGCGTTAATTTTATTCCATACAAATTTCCCCATACAATAATGGTGCGACTATATACTACTTCGAAGTATTTGGGTTACATTTAAATTTGGCTGACATAGTTCACAAAAGACTGTTAGTTGATGTCGTCGACTGTTACAGTATTCACGTACTTTGTCCTAACGTTAGTGATTGTCCCTCCAAGAATTGTACAGGTACAAGACCATAGTATGTATCGCACATGTCATGACTCTATTTCAATGGACACTACGCGACCTACATAACGTTCCTAGAACTTGTGCATTGTCGAGTTTCTATCTCCAGTCCAGTCAGTACACAATAATGGCTGCCCTTTCAAGGTTCATGTTCAAAGTCCAGAACTTTCCCATCCTGCGTTTTCCATTCTCGGCATGTCCAACGCGTTCCGTTTCTGACCATTAATGTTCCCAACACAGTAGCATTGCAACTTGTTATCGACACTTTCGATAGAGGCACCATGACAGTGTGTGTTTGATAACGAGTTTATACAGCAGCGATTGGCAGAACACACGGCGGCCACTCTTCATCACAACTTGCGACAACGTATGGCCCGAATTGTAATAGCTTATATTATTATTAATAATAATTAGACACACACAATCCATACCGTCCAAGTGAATGTTAAAATAGTACACTTATTGTGTTTTCGAGTGAAATTTCGTGTTGTGGCGTGGTTTCACGTTGGAATTTAAATCGATTTGATTGGCTACTTCAGATGAGCTCAAAAATATTAACCAATCAAAACCTTCTAAATGAAATTCAACCAATCAGATCAATTGTGGATATCGGTTTGGTCGGCGCGATTCGATTGCACCCCCTCCCCAAATTTGTATCAAATCGACAATACTACGATAATTGTCGTTGATCTGCACCCAGAAGTATAAAACGCAAATATAACGATATAAAATTTAATATATGCTTAAATAAAGGAAGCATACGTAAGATTTAAATAAAATGTTCAAATTTAGTTCCATGGTGCAAAGGTATGATGCTCGTCACGTATAAACTTCCAACTTTTCACAAAATTTTCTGACTTTTATTTCATATTCATTACTCAAAATTTCAGCAAATTGAGACGTAGAATCGACAGATCTCAATGTGGTGAAGAAATTCTACGTCTCATATTCAACCAGAAATAGATATTTAACCTAGTGGTATTTTACATAGGCGCATGGATATTTGGCCATAGGGGTGGCTGCTGAGATGTATCTTGAGTTTTGTATGTGACTCTTATCCGTATGTAATATCCGGAGGCAGTTGGGACCTTTAACCTCCCACTGCAGTGATAAAACGCATAAATTCGGTATTTATCGTTTTGGGTTTTGGGTTTAACTACATTAATTGTACGTTAAATAATAAAACCTCCACTCTTGGCCAGTTGGAAGGTTTTAGATGACGTGCATCATTCTGTACTACGACAAATACGATAGAATTATTGCACCCGTTCAAGATACACTTTCCCGTACTTATCCGAAATTTCGGACTTAATAGACTTATCCACTCTATTGGCCACTGGCGACGGCGATAAACTCCATGTCCACAAGGCAAACCATCATGCAGCGAGGCAAGATCCGTCAGCAGCACAAGGCGATTGGCGATGTGGCCGAGAAACCCAAGATCAAGAAGCTGACCAAGGAGAAGGTGGCTGACGAACACAATAGCGCCACAGATCACTTGGATCTGGCGCACCGCGGCATCGAGACGATCGAAACCAACGCGTTCGACGCGGCCACAGCGCTCAAGCGGCTAGACCTCAGCGCCAACAAGCTGACGCGCATTGCATTCACCCACAACATGTCTCTGACCCAGCTCAAGATCACGTCCAATGTGCTTGTGGACGCTGGCATCGTGGACTTGTCGTTCTGCAAGCAGCTGGTCACGCTGGACCTAAGCGACAACAAGCTCGCTCGGTTGCCTGGTGCAAGTCTGCGACACTGCACGGGGTTGCGCGCACTGGTACAACTCTCTCTCTCCTTGTCCTCTCTATATACATACACCGACGTGATCGTCGTAGGTGCTCACGAAAAATGCGATGACGTCGCTGGAGTGGGTGCCTAGCCTGCCTGGGCTCACGTCGTTGATCGTTAGCCACAACCGTATCACTGAGATCTCGGCCAAGAGCATCGGCAAGCTCAAAGGCTTGACCAAACTGCAACTGTACTGTACACCATCTTCCATCCTGTCGATGTCATTGAACCAATATCGACACTGTGTAACTATCGTAGCTCGCACAACAAGTTGACCGAGTTGCCAGATTTGACTGCTTTGGAGCAACTCACGGAACTGCGCGCGTCCAACAACCAGCTCACGGCGTTGCCAGCTTCAATCAACCACAACGGTACTAAATTTACTTGTCTCTATTGTCCTTAAGAAGAGAATAATCATTGGATGAAAAATATCCGCCCAAGCCAATCAAATCACTCCTTTGATGAATTTCTGCCAATACAATAAGCGTTTGACTCCACCCTGGCCCTCCGCTTGTTTGGGCAAAGTCATAGAAATATATATATATCCTGATCGTTTTACAGTATAGATTCAAATGGATTCGAATGCTATTTGGCGAAATAACTCAAAAAGTCGACACATTTGAAATGCACAACATTTCCTCATCGTTATATGTAACGTAGTCAACTTGAAGATTGTGGACGTATGCCACAACCATATTGACACATTTGACGGACTGGACCAGTGGACGTCACTTGCCCAGCTAAAGCAGCTGAATCTGCGGGGAAACCCTATTTGTGGCCAAAGTTCCACTCTTCCGATGGAACTAGTCGAGTCTGCGAAAGAAAAAGAAGACGCTAGCGCCACAGTGTCACAGGTGGACTTGGCTGGTACGTACAAGGTTGCTACGATCGACCACAAAGTATGCTTTCAATGTGTATGGATGTCATCAAACAGGTCATATTGATATTTCACTTTGTCCATGAATATTATTATAGTATATTGATTTGAACATGGTCATGCGATTGATTTGGAACGACTTTTTTCGGATATCGCTCCCATTGGTCAATCTGAAATTACTTGTCGCTGATTGGCTTCCTGGATAGCCAATCAGCGATTGTGGAATCGGCAAAGCCTTCTGCGGCGAGATATTGTGCGACCGGTCCCATTCTTCGGGATATTTATATCATATTCATGATATATGTATAAATAACACATTATATATATACTGTGCTCTAACGCCTTGTATGACATGATTGTAGAGCGTAAAGCGTTGGACAAGAAGAATAAATTGTACAATTTCAAGATGAAGCGATTGTTTCCGGCGCTGATTGTGCGCGATGGCCAGCGCATCCAAGACAAGCGTACTCACGGGTGAGTCCTTCAATATCATTATATAATTGTGATAAAATGATGTATTTGGGTGGACATTACTACTACTAGTACTAGTACTACTACTAGTACTAGTACTACTACTAGTACTAGTATCTTTTTATAACATGTTACGAACTTTTGGATGGAATACCATGATATTTTGATAAAGAAAAGATACGATCTGTGAAAAAGAGGATATTTTGTATTGTGCTTTCGAGTGAAATTTCGTGTTGTGCGTGGTTTCTCGTTGGAATTTAAATCGATTTGATTGGCTACTTCAGATGAGCTCAAAAATTTTAACCAATCAAAACCTTTTAAATGAAATTCAACCAATCAGATGGGCGCGATTCGATTGCACCCTCCCCAAATTTGTATCAAATCGACAATATGAAGAAGTGATTTGTTTTAAACCATTTTTTAATTTTAGAAATGATTAATATTTTTGTGTGCTTAGATATGTGGCCCCGCCGCCGGAACCCAAAGCGCCCAAGCCTGTGAAAAAGGACGCGACGGCATCTGCCGCAGCTGAGACGACGGACGGGCAGAAGACGAAGAAGAAGAGGCGAAAGGAGTCCAAGGATGAGGCTGTGGAGGACGAGGGACGTCGCCATGCAGGGGAAACACTCGACGATGTTAAGAAGGCTGTGAAGAAAGCCAAGAAGGACAAGAAGCGGGCCGCGCAAGACGAGACTGCAACGGACATCATCCCGACAGCCAAACGCTCCAAGAAGGATCGTGAGGCTGCTGAAAGCAAGGGATCGAAGGATGGCAAGGAGTCTGTGGTGGCGGCGAAGGAGCTAGCTACGACGACACCCAAAGACATGAAACACGGCAAGAAGTCGGAAGGTGTCGAGGGGAATGGTGAACATGGGGAGAAGCCCGCCAAGAAGGAGAAGGGAAGGAAAAAGAAGGAGAAATACGTACGTTCGTTCGTATCCGTCGGATGATGTTGACGGGGATGTGTAGGCCAAGGACAGCGGCGTGCTGAGTGTGGTGCACGTGAAGAAGTCAGCCAAGTCGGCGGCTGTCAGCTCCACGGCGACCGCTCCCGTGGACTTCACGCAGCTCGACACAAGCGGCGGCGTCGGGATGGGGGGCGAGTCCAGCTGGGACTAACGTAGCTCCATTGCAGCACCACGAGGAGCTTTCACATGGACAGTTTTCAAGTTTGGAATTGGACCCGTGGCAATTTATACTTGTCGCCGATATATATAGCAAAACCTTCAGTCTCTCCCAAAACCAATTGTATCAGTATACAGAAACAAAGATCATCGTGCAAATTATTTTGAAAACCTCCGAAAACGAATGTAATTAAACAGCGACATTACAACATCGTGGTACATTTTGGCTCGGAGGATGTTTCGACAAAGTTGGGGCGGCGACAAGGCCAGGATCCACACGGACGTCGGCAAGGAGCATGGCCGCGAGGAGGACGACCCGTCGACCAGCTACACCCTCGTGGAGGACGACAGCGGCCCTGTCAGTAGAAGCAGAAGTGGCGACTTGCGGAGGGCAGGCAGCAGCATGCCCATGCTCGAATCGACATCGTTCCGCAACATTCCGCTCATGCAAGACCGACACTCGAATCGGGTCGTGCCACTCGTAGATGCTCTCTCGCCGCCTGTGCGAGATGTCCATGACCACACGACGCGGCAGGTCTCGGAGCCAGGACCGCCGCCATCGTCGTCAGTTCCCTCCCTCGACAGCTCGTTCCAGTTTCCAAAGGTCAAGACATCCAGACCCGAACATCAGCGCATGTCCGTGCCACCGGTAGTTTCCTCACCAATAGCATCAGGTGGCACCATGAGTCCCAGTACCCCATCCCCGTCATCATACCCGGCGTCCACGCTAGTGATTGCCTACCAACCGCTGAATCGAAGTGTCTAGTCCAGTCATTCGAGTCCACATCCTCCAGCAGACTCCAAAGCGTATTTATCTGCCACGTCATATGTAAACTCTACTGCCAGTCAACCCCACCTACACGTAGTCTCGTACTACCAGCAACCTTGCAACTATGACTTACTTGACCATATCATTGTGCATTTCACCCAAAATATATATATTTGGACTTGTGATCCATACTAAAAGTACTAGTACTTGCTAACACTAGTATAGGTAAGTTAGTACTATTCCGGAGTACCACCAATGTAATACTACGTAGTTATCCATTGGATGCAATTTACAGTATACGACAGCATCAAGCGACCTTTAGGCTGTAAGCGTGTACAAATGATACTATTACACCTTTTTTCTATTGAGTTGGGACTTTTTTCAACGTTCTTGGCTTGGCGCTCATTCGAAAGGGCGATGTGTCCATTCATTTGGCCTTGTGGCCAATAGAATTGACACTTAGTGCCGCAACACCCTTTGAAATGTACCTGGAAAAGGCTCCACTACCCAACAATGTGCCAAGTACCATTTCGAATCTGCCGTGCTTGAAGTGGAGTTGGAGCGAAGATTCTACAAGGTTGCAGTTGGGCGATCTTCGCGCCCATTTTTTTCACTTTTCAAAATCGCATTCCGTGCAACAATGGAGAACGCTGCACCACAGACACCAGTACGACGTCATCGCTCACGATACGCTAGCCATGCTCATAGCCAGGCAAGAAATACAAGCGTATCCCCACGTCTGGAGTACTTCTACGGTCGTGCGAACCGAATGGAAGACATGGAAGTAGGCATGTAGCTGTTTGCTGCAAGTTTCGATGATTTTATCTGCTTTTTTCATGCCGTCGCGTATTTGATAATATAATGTTATATTCGATCCAATTCCACTTCAAGCACGGCAGATTCGAAATGCTACTTGGCACATTGTTGGGTAGTGGAGCCATTTCCATTGGTAGTATGGTACATTTCAAAGGGTGTTGCGGCACTAAGTGTCAATTCTATTGGCCACAAGGCCAAATGAATGGACACATCGCCCTTTCGAATGAGCGCCAAGCCAACAACGTTGAAAAAAGTCCCAACTCAATAGAAAAAAGGTGTAGTTAACGAAATACTATTAATAGTACATATAATACATTATATATGATGTTTTGCCCAATGCGGAAGGACTGGGTCGAATCAAACGCTTGGATTGGCAGAAATTCGACAGGACGTGATGGTTTGATTGGCTTAAGCGGTCCTTTAATCCATAAGTCGGTTTCGAATCGATTTGACAATATATAAATATATATATCTGTGGCGGTTAACTGTCTCTGCTGGGTGGCCATGCCAGTATATATATATATTACGAACCCGTGATATGTACCTACTGTACAGTGTCCATATACTGAAACGTCGACAGCGTCTGCCGATGCGCCGCCACCACCACCCTGTCCTTGACCAGAACCGAGTCGGCATCGTACTCGAGGTCGTCGCGACTGCGCACGTCGTGGGTCCTCACGTCGTACACGACCAACGCACGATCAACCCCCGCCACGACCTGGTTCGGGGCGAGGAATTCCACTGGAAACATGGTTTTGAATTCCGATGTCGCATATGTGACAGAGGGGCCGCGGTCGTGCTGCCGGATGTCCCACACCAGGATCTTGCCGTCAAACCCTGTGGATACGACCGTATGACGGCACGTTGGCGCCCACCGCACGCTATATATTTGCATGCACAAGATGGGTATATATATATATATATATATATATATACTGTAACCCATACAAGTAACGAATAGTGGACGAATAAACGGAAAAGAACGATACAGTTCAGTGTGTCGTCACCACCACACCATTATGAAGATCGACGAGTACGAATATTTGACAGTTATATTATATATATATATATATATATATATATATATATA